GTCCCCTTTCTATATGAGGAGGCTGAGACCTCTAAGGTCACATGGTCACATGGTCCCCACTGGAGCAGAACCTTCAGGGAAGACGTAGCGAATGGTCACACTGAACAGTGGATATAACCGCTCCTTCTGGCCCAGCCTAGGTCTGCTATTTGAAGAGGGGGCCCTGAGGTACCATAATCAGGGGAGGCCAGTTTGGGCTGGTTGACCATCGCTGGAGGGACAGAGACACCTCCGGCCTGTGTTTTCCACAGGGTCCTTCTCCCAGTGGCTCAATCTGAGTCTTTCAGTCTGGGTCCAAACCCTTTTCATCTGCCTCTCTCACCCATAGCCTTTCAAGTGTGTCCCTTGACACAATGTCCTCCACTCTGCTCTCTGGGCTCATGACATTAGCAATCAGAGTAAATGCCATTGGTACCATGGAAAGGCCCAGAGGGATGGAGTGGTTTCCTGAGGGCCCAATGGTAGATGCCATCAGGCTGGACCTGGAACTCTGTAGACATATTGCAGCATCCTCATACTGACAAAGGACCCTCATCTCTTAGTGCTATGTGCATCGTAGTCTAGAAAAACATATTTATAACATGCCAGGACCTGAGGTCCCCTCTGTGGTAGTGATTGGCCCATGCTGACAGAATCCTGGCTCTGCAGAGACACCTTCCCCCAGCCAGCCTTTCCTGTCTCCCTCCAGAGAGAGGCTCCTGGGCAGAGTGCAGTCTTGGCCGCTCAATCCTGTAGGCGTGGGAATAGACCCGTGAATTTTCCCTCAAGAGCTTTGAGGTGTTCAGTGCCTGGCTGCAGGTCAGCCCTGGCACTTGGGAAAGTGAACCAGTATGCCTGGTGAATTCAGAACTCATAAAAATATGGGACCCCGAGACAATTTATGAGGTGCCAGAAACCAGAGGGAGCAGCACCGAGGGCCTGAGGCCACCTGGAAGCTTAAACAGGAGCCTGGGTCTGGATTGTCCCCAAGATGGAGCCAATTCATAAGGATGGATTTGAACCCAGGCAGCATTTGGTGAGAGAACTATAGTCAGGAGCATTTGGATGGCTTGGAATCTTTAAATAGCTGAACGGGAGCTTCAGGGGCTGATGGGAACCCCTGGGAGAAAGCCCAGGAAACCCAGGACTTCTTGAGAGCCCTCTTTGGTCCTACATGCTGCTCCAATTAGCAGTAGTAGCTGGTGGAAGTTGCATCAGGCAGAACTGCGGGCCTCAGGAGGGCTGTTCTGGCTGCCACTCACCTCTCCTTGGTTTCTCTTTCGGAGGCCAATTGGACTGCTTTGCTTTGTTGAGGGGTTCTCCAAGGCCTGGGGTACTGCTTGGAAGGAGATCCCCATGTCCTCTGCCACGTGGAACGTGAAGCACGTGTGAGAAGCCATGTGAGAAGACGGGTAAAATGCACGCTTCTGGCCTCGCCCTGAGATATGTAGATGCAGGGACCCCAGGGAGTACCAGGTGGGGGCTTCTCTGGAGTTCCGTTAAGCACCGCCTCAACCTTATGCCTCTGCAGATCCGGGGAGGCCCCTTTAAGAAGCCCCAGTGCTTAGAGTCAGCCAACCTGCCATAGGGTCTCGGGAGCCTCTGAGGAGCATCGGAGACCGTGGGTGTGAACAGAACACATGGACGGCACCACACTGGTGTCTCCCGGGAAGCTGCACCCTGAGCCCACACTGAGCTCAGCACTGAACGTTCTTGCGTGCTGAGCATGCGCGGAACAAATGTCGCTCACCCCGTAGAGGGACTCATTGTACCAAACAGCAGACAGCAGTACATATACTACAGCTTATTAAGAGGTTATCACATACTGCCACGGGCCACTTCCTGGTAACACTAAATGTGTCCTTTCACGCCTGATTCCCTTTATGTGGGACAGCACCGTCAAGGCGCCAGGGCTCTGCTCCCTTTTCTGGCCGGATAATATTCTGAAAGGGCACAGCACCTTTTGCTCCTGCACAGACCCACCCTGGACATGATGGCTGGGATGAGTTTGCCAGCTGGGCTCTAACCGTGCTTACTTTATACCTGTGATCTGTATGAAGCTACCCGTGAAGCAGTCACTGTTATGAAGCCACAGAGTAGGCCTCTGAGACTCAGAGAGCTGAAATGACTTGTCCCCAGGGTTATTAAGCCAAAAAGTGGCAGATGCAGGACCCCCCCATCCTCCGCAGCAATAATGACTGTGACCCCCGGGACCATTAGGATTGTCTTTTAAATAATCACACCTGCCCCCCTCCCTGACTTAAGTCAAAATCTCTATAACTGTCACTCTTAGCTAGGAGTGACTTTGTGCCCCCCTCCCCCGTTCTCCAGAGGACACCGGCCATGTGTGCACACAATTTGGAGTATCATAGCTTGTAGGTGGGGCACTACTGGCATGCAGTGGGAAGAGACCAGAGATTTGGGGTGCTGTTGAATGTTCTAGTAGTGCACAGATTGAAGCCCCACAGTAAAGAAGGATCAGGTCCCAAGTTGGAGACACCAAAGCCGAGAATCTTCATTACAGAAGTGCAATGGGATGCCGGGCTGATTTTTTGCTCAGCATCTCTGTCAGCCTGCACATGTGTGTGCAGAGGGCCTGGGGAGGAGCCAGAAGCTTGCCTTTCCCCTTCAATCCCTTTCAGAAGGCTTGGTCACACCTTGGCTGTGACACTGAGACCTCCAGGAAGCTGACTTGCTCTCTTCACGGTTTTTTGGTAAAGACACCACCCCTTTGGAGAGAAGATGGTAGCATTGCAGATGTGCCCAGGTAGTTGCTGCTGCCTGCAGGAGACCTGGAGCTCTGCAGAGAAGAGGCTGCCCCAAATGGTGTGTTTGCGCAGTGCATGGTGATTCATGGCAAGGCCCCCACCCCTCAGAGAGCTCACCCAGCCTGGCCCTGGCCTGGCTGGCTGCAAGCCCTTGGCTGGCCGCCCCAGTAGCAATGACTCAGGTTTTCCACCTGTAAAATGGGAGGGGTGGCTCTTGCTGGCATCCCCAGCCCCAGCAGCCCCTACCATGTCCCCCCCACCCCTACTCCATCAAAGGCAAGGCTGAGAAGCCACCTCTGTAGCTGCTGTTTTCACTGCTAGTAAACCGGCCTTAACAAAAGCTCAATTAGAAAGTCAAGGGGCTTCCACACTGAAAGACAGGCTTAACAGCTCACCCACGTGGGAGGAATTAGCAGTTTTATCCCAGGCTTCTCAACATGTCCCAGAGCCCACAGGCGGCGGGGTGCGGTATTGCTCCTGAGTACCGAGCCAGGCATCAGGACCATGGGGCTGAGCTGGGCAAGTCACTAGGAAGTGGGTGGAAGTCTTGGAAGTCCCTAAGTGCACCTGCTACTCAGTGAGGCTCCCCAGCCCTGGCAACAGAGGAGGAGGGTGATCTGTACTCGAACATGGAAGGAAATGGTTAAGTTCGGGCCTCACAAGGCTGCTGCTCAGGCTCCAGACTAGCTCCCGGCTCCGGATGGGGAGGGGATGGGGAGGTCCAGGGGCTCTGGCATGGGAAGACCTGGCCTTCTGCCCAGCCTGAAACTCTAGGACAAGAGCCAGAAGCTCAAGCTGACTCACCAGGAAGGCAGGGCTGTGGAGAGAGGGAGGGGCCTAAGGGAGTAGGAGGGACCTGGCTGCAGCTAGAGTTCCTTTGTTACCTGGCTGGTGCTACACCTGCCTCTATTCATTGTCTCCTGTATCCTGCCTTCCACACAGGGCTGAGGGGTGGCTCCTGGGCCTGGGCCTGCTGAGAAGGGTTCCCGTCTCAGCCAGGTGGGGACTGGTCCATGACTGAATGAGAAACTCTGTGCTCATGTCCTCCGAAGGCTGCTGGGAGCACTTTAGCATATTGTACTGGCAGAGAGCTTAGCACTGGCCTGTCCTGCCCCAGCTTTCATTCGCTGTGGATAGAGATGAACAGAAATAGGAAAGACCTGCCTGCCCGAACTCAGACACCTCTGGCACCTCTGTCCTGGGGCTGAGGAGAGCTCCTGAAGGGTCTCTGAAAGTGAGCCTTTCTCCAGAGAAGGACTCAACAGGACGGAGCAGCGGAGGAAGTGGGGTGGGGGTCAAAGAAGGAGGAGTGTGGCCCAGAGAGAACCTACCAGAGGAGGCCAGGCTGAGTGGGACCTGAGGTCATGAGGAAGGAGCTGCCCACATAGGGAGGGGAGCAGAGCTCAGGGAAGCATAGAGCTCAGAGGTGGGAGCATGCCTCAGAGGTAGCAAGGGGGTAGCAGAGGTACCACCGTACTTACCCAGCACGTCTGGGGGCCTGGGTTCTACCCTCAGCACTGCAAAATACACACATGCAGGTACACACCGTCTGTCTGTCTGTCTGTCTGTCCATCTATCTATCTGAGAGAGAAAGACGGGGGAAATAGAAGGTTCTAGAAGTTCCAGAAACATGGTGGGAACATAGTGATGAAGGGGGACCTCTGGGAAAGGAAGCCACGAGGTCAGCTCCTGGAATCTACAGCTTTCAGTAAGAATCGCCCACAGAGCCGGGCAGTGGTGGCGCACGCCTTTAATCCCAGCACTCGGGAGGCAGAGGCAGGCGGATCTCTGTGAGTTCGAGACCAGCCTGGTCTACAAGAGCTAGTTCCAGGACAAGCTCCAAAGCCACAGAGAAACCCTGTCTCGAAAAACAAAAACAAAAACAAAAAAGAATCGCCCACAGGCTTCATCTGGCCGTGCACTCAGCTCACACCGGGCTGTGAGTCTGGGCTGAGAAGTGGAAGGAAGAAGCAGCTTGAGCAGTGGAGATCATGATGAGTGGGTGGGCTGGGCCTATCCCTGCACAGAGGAGAAGGAAGACCCGGTTTGTCTGGCTCCCACCTCTCCTGCAGGGAAGGCAGCCTGGATTCCTGCAAATAGTGCTCTGTGACAGCAAACTGGCTAAGTGGCGTGTGGTTCTTTCAGGGATGTGAAGTTTGGAGGTCCCCACTTGGGACTCTATTCCCGCCCTCTCGCCGCGTCTCTGGAGCAGATTTCTCTAGGTCACCATGTTTCTTTTCTTCTTGCCCTCAGCTCAGCGCTCTGCCCATGAGCTGCCCATGGTGGAGAGACAAGACGTGGACAGCTGCCTGGTCTATGGGGGCCAGCAGATGATCCTCACAGGCCAGAACTTCACGGCTGAGTCCAAGGTGGTGTTCATGGAGAAGACCACAGGTCAGTCACTTTCTCTTGCTTCTCTGAGCCAGACGGAACTGAGTCTCGCACCACACTCAGCCTGTTGTGTAACTTCCCGTTCTTCTGGCTCACTTCCCAGTGACCCACAGCCTCACAGGTCACCGTGGATGTGGGTGACATGCTTGGATTGGTCCTTGGATGTTTCCGTGGAGACTAAACTTGTTGCTTTTCATCAACCTTGTTTTTGTTTTGATATCGTTTCTGCACATAGGCAAACATTTTTAAAAATACCTTTTCCTATTTCTCAGAAGAGAAACTGAGTGAGTTGCTGCTTTGAGGCCGGTGTTGGGGTGCCTACGTCACTGTGAAGTGGGCACTCCTGTCACTGAGGTTTGCTGCCCAGGAGAAGCAGCGTGGGAAGAGGCTGAGCTGGAACATGAGCTCCCTTTTGGAAATGTGAGCGTTGGGTCTGATGAACTCTGACCTCCTTAGACAAACCAGGGTCTCGTCTATTGAAGGCAAGGTAACTAGGAGTGTACAGTCTTGAGGGCTAGACGGAGCAGCAGAGCCTGGCTAGGGGTAGCACGGAGGTCTCTGTTGGACTCTTGTGACTAGATGACTCACAGGATAGCCTCCAGAGGGGAAGGGAGAGCAGCAAGCAGATGCAGGAAGCCCCATTGCGGTCACCGCAGCAGGAGGGGACAGCAGAGCAAATTCTGTGAAAACTTGAGGTCTGAGCGATGGATGTACCCAGGCACCTGTGTCCAGGTGGCTGTGAGGACAGGAGACACACTGGGGTAGGAGGGGAAAGTAAAAGTGACAACATAGCCTGTCCCCAGGTGGGAGGGGCTTAGGATCATGTCCTTTCCTAGACACAGTTGACACCATTGCTGGGTAAGAGTGGTGGGGCCTTCTGTGAGCAGAGTGTGTTCCCAGAATCCCTCACTCCCCACCTGGTGCTCTGAGCTCTGCTCTAGTCCCAAGGACTGAAACACTTGCAGTCGTTGTCCAGTGTGTCCCGACAGGCAGAATTGACCCTGGTGCAAATCAGCAACATGCAGAGGTCACTGAGAAAGGTGGAGAAAGAACAGACGTGAGTGTTAGGGAGTCTCCGACCGGGTAAACAACCAGCTGCCTGTCACAAATCCATGCGCCCCACTGGAGAGCTCCTACAGAGCAGGGAGAGGCAGGGGCAGGGCTGACCCACTCCCTGCAGGACTCTGCTGGCCGAGTCTCTCTGCTTACATGGACACAGTTTTAAGTCTGTATTTTCACTTGTGCTTTTTTGCTGCGTGAACATCTGTGCCGATGCTTCCTGGTCTCTCAGCAGCTGGCTGCAAACAGGCATGGCTCATCCTACTGTAGGGTCTCACAGTAGGCTATCAGCCCATTTCATTTTTATCCATTTCCTTCTTACCGAGTCCAGGTAGAGACGTGGTTCTAATTGGTCTGGGCCTGAAGGTTAGTTTCTTTGACTCCCTTAGCAAAAACGGCCAAAGGAAAGGTCTGCTTTGGCTCACGGTTCATGGGTCCAGCCCATCGTGCGCAGTGGCCACACTGCATCTACAGTTGGGGGCGTCTTGAGGCTGGTGTTCAGTTCCGTCCTCTTAATTTAATCAGGCAGTTAGGGTGGGTCTCCTGCCTCATTTAACCTTGTCTAGATCACCCCTCACAGACACCCCTGGAGGCTTGCCTCTTAGTCGGTTCGAGATCTTCTCAAGCAGACAATATTAACCATCCCAGCGCGGTGAGGTAATCGGCTGCCCTAGTGGATGTGGGTAACAGGAACTGTTAACGCCCAGGTAACAGCACATTCTCTGGGTTGGATGCAGCTCCAGGATCAGGATGCTATCCTTGCCCGCTGTGAATATTGACAAGACGAATGTGGCTTTAAAGCACCATGGGGGAACAGCCAATAAGATCCAAACGTTTGGTTACTGATGTCCAAGGTGACAGAGCCTCTGTGTTGACAGGAACGTCTAAAAAAGGACGGGAGGATGGATCCTACTGATTCCCTGGTGCTGGGGACTGCCAGCGAGTTCCAGGTGTCTGGGTCAATAGTTTTGATGAACTGCTTCCTGAGTGGATGAGAGAGTGCTGATGGAGTGGCATTGGCTATAATCAGACTTTTCATAGACCACCAGCTCCCAAATAGTGACACTGAGACTTCTTATTAATTATGAAAACTTAGCCATATCTTAGGCTTGTTCCCAACTAGCTCTTATAACTTAATTAACCCATTTATATTGGTCTACGTTCTGCCATGTGGCTCATTACCTCTCCTCCGTGCTGTATATCCCACTTCCTCTGTATCTGGCTGGCAAATCTCCAGCCTCTGAGATTCCACCCCCACCCTCCTGTTCCTCTTTCTCCCCAGAAGTCCCACTTAGCCACTCTGACCTAGCTATTGGCTGCTCAGCTCTTTAGTAAACCAATCAGAAGTTGCTTTGGCAGATGATATTAAACAGAGACACATCTCCACCGTGTAGAAAAGATTATCCCACAACAGTTGGCTGATGCATAGCTCTCTTGGTTTCCAGAGCCATCCATACCTTGACCTCACCATGAGAAGCATTTGGCCTTGGAAAGTCAAGTTGAACCAATGGGAACCATCATAATGGCACATTCCCCATATAACCCGGCATGCTGACTTATAATTATGCCATTATTAATAAATTGGCGATCAAGGTCAGGGCTGAGTAAACCACTCTGGCCTGTGGTTTGGCCTCCCTCTGTAAGCTGGCATATCAGCCCTGCCCCTGGAGTAAGGGTTCACATGGGAGTTCTGTGCCCTGAGGGCACAGCTTGTGGTCATCGGACACCTGTGATCTTTGTGGCCTTCCAGCCTCCCCAGAGCTCTGGCCACAGGCCTTGTGTAAGGCACATGTTGTCTGTGTGTGAGTTTGGATTGGACAAGCTTAGGAGTGGGGGTGCAGCTGTCAGCTGCATGGTCCCAAGCCCGGGTTTGAGGTTAAACTGTGTGATGGTTACTTTTTAGTGCCACCTGTCACAGCCTGGAGTCACCTGGGAAGAGAGGTGGTTTGTTTTGTTTTTGTTTTTTAAAGAGGGCATTTCTCTGTGTAGCCCTAGCTGTCCTAGAACTTGTTTTGTAGACCAGGCTGGCCTTGAGCTCAGAGGTCCTCTTGTGTCTGCCTCCTGAGAGCTGGGATTAAAGGATTGCACCACCACCATCTGGCAGGAAGAGAGTTTTCATGAGGAATTGTCTAGATGGGGCTGACTGATCCTGCTGTGGGAGGATACAGTCATTATGGGCGGCCCCATCCCTTAGGCACAGGAGTGAAGAAAAAACAAGCAAACAGGCAGCATGGCTGCCATTGTTTCTCTCTGTTCTTGATTATGGATGCTGGGCCACCAGTTGTCTCAGGCTCCAGCCTCTGTGACCTCCATGAAATGACGGGCTCTGATCCACAATTGGACGCTGAGTAAACCACTCTTTCCTTTCGTTACTACATGTTGTAAGGGAAGAACAAAGATGAGCTCACCCAGAGAGCCAGAGATGTTCAGAAGCAACAGCCCTCATCCTGAGCCAAGCTCTGTTCTAAGCGTTTGCCTAGGTTAGCCGATCTGATTCCCATGATAGCCCTGCAAAGGAACTACTCTTCCCTGAGCCTACAGTGAGACTAAGTAAGCACAGAGACATTGGATGATGTGATGAAGATCACACAGTTGGTTCTTGGTGGTGTAAGACTTACATTCAGGCAGTGTGGCTCCAGGGTCTAGAAAAGCTCAGACCTGGGATGATTTGCTCTAAAGATCCCTTCTCTCCTCAAAGTATGGACTTGAACCCAGTCATAGTGATGGAGAACCCTGAGTTCTGCTGAGCTGTTGGCACAGTTTCTATTTCATTGCTGAGACTCTTACACACCAACTTCAGGACATCAGGCACCAGTGAGACACCCTGAGTATCCCCCAAGAAGTAGGCTTCCCTGAGAGGGCTGTGTGGCTCCCCTCTTCTCTGATGGGGGGACCTTGATAATTTGCAAGGTGCAGAGCCTGCTCTTTTGACCCCGGGGTTCACCTCCTGCAAGGGAGATCCATGTAACTGGAGTTGGTTTTTCCAAAACCGGTCCTGTGTCCATCTCCATGGACACTTGGCCAGTAGGCGCTGCACACAGGGTGGAGTGGCCGAAGTTTTCCAAGGCAGGGGAATCCCAGCTGCTGTTCTCATTAGGAAAGGTGACAGCGCTGGGCTAATCTTAGCAGCAGAGTTTGGTCATCGGCACCGGGAGCCTCAGCATGCTTTTTATAGCTGTCCGCTAAAACGGGCTTGGCACTTTCCACTCCATCAAGAGGACAAGCTGAGGAGGTGGAAAAACGGTGAGGAGAGGGGCCGCGGGGTGCCTGAGCTAGGAGAGCCCCGTGTTTTGGAAAGTGTGGTCCTATTTATAGTGGCAGTCATAATAAGAATTATTATGAGTTTCGGTCCTATTTTTAATTCTTCATAGGACTTGCAGGGACCCGTGAGACTCTACATTTGCCCATCCCTCTGATCTCAGCTGATCCTCTCTCGCTGGTTCCCCTGGCTGCAGAGAATCCCTCTTCATTCTGTCTTTGGATGCTCCATGCCCCTTCATGCCCCAGGACCTTGGCATGTGCTGTTGGCTTTGGAACATTCTTCCCTTGTTCCTTCACACATGGTGTCTCCTACTACAAAGAAGTCACTTTCCTTGAGAGGTGTTTTTTTCTTAAACCTTCATGGCTCAACCCCTAACCCGGTGTCATCTCGTCCTGTCCCACTGACATGCTTGGTTCTCCAGGTGGCACTCAGTGATTCCTTTGCCTGTCTGCTGTCTCTGGCCACTGGTTCCCACCTTAGACTGATGCTGATGGTTGCTTTGGAGCAGGGCCTTGCTGTTTGCTGCTGCACTCTTGACTTTGAGAACAGTCTCTGTGCATCGTGTGTGTGTGTGTGTGTGTGTGTGTGTGTGTGTGTGATGCTGAAGGAAAGTCCCATCCCCCTCTGTTGTCCCTCCAGCCTTGAAAAGTGTCTTTACTAGCCCTATTTTACAGACAAGTTG